TCTATAGTTTCTGCAGGGGGCTGGTTCTTTTCTGCAGGGAGAATTTGCCTCTACCCTGTCTGTGGTGTAGACTTTCTATAGTTTCTGCAGGGGGCCGGTTCTCTTCAGCAGGGAGAACTTGCCTCTACTCTGTCTTTGGAGTAGACTTTCTGACTTTCTATAGTTTTTGAATACATCTCACTTTTCCTTTATCTTGGTGGCTCACTCCTGAATTTTTTCTTGTACGAAGCCAAGGACCCACTTGGACATTAAGTGGCTCCCAGCATTGGGAGTCACTTTCCTGCATCAGCAGGGAGGAAATCTGTGTACTTGAATGTTCCTTGGAAGTTGCCCCCCTCCCCCAGGTTTAATAGGATTAAAAGTAGGCCTTGGAAATGAGAAACGGCGTGGGCCACGTGTGGGCACAGTACAGTGCGGAGAGTCAGGGCCTGGTTCCTTCAGCTGCCCACTCTGTGTCACGTCCTCCATCCATAGACGGGTCTCAGATTCTAGACCTAAGCAGTCTGGAGGGTCCATGGAATGACTGGGTTTACTCCTGAGCTTTCCCCCTTGATGCTGTATTCTGAGCAACTGCATGCTAAGCACACATATCAGGAATTTATTTTTGTGATCTACCTATGCGTAGACTGATGTTGTCCTCTTTTTTTCCCCATGTCCCTTTATCTCTCAGGCAGCGAGTATGCATACGAGGGCTGTGGTGACGGAGTCCCAGCCCCACAGAAAGTACTCTTCCCCGTGGAGCGCCTGTGTTTGCGGTGGGAGCGGGTCTTCCGCGTTGGTGCGGGACTCCACAACCTTGGCAACACCTGCTTCCTGAACTCTACCATCCAGTGCTTGACCTACACACCGCCGCTGGCCAACTACCTGCTCTCCAGGGAGCACGCTCGCAGCTGTGAGTATGAGTTTGCAGTCGGGGTTGGCTTTGAGTCCTTGGGACTAGACAGCCCACGTGCTTGTGGCACTGCCGTTTTCAGTCTGGATCAAATTCAGGAGTGAAGTTTGTGATGTAGGAGCCAATCAAACCTAAATTCGATTGGTGTCCGCTGCAGCATGGGCCACGAAAGCGAACCAATCGGGTAGGGTCTTGCCCGCCAAACTTTCCTGAAAACAGTCACCTAAACAGAAACAAAGGTTTGCAAAAGATACCTCCAAAATGCGTTTATTCAATTGTTTTATACATCTATTGTATCAGTATATTTTATGTGTGTTATAAAGCATGTGCCAAAGCAAAAATTAAAAATGAGTAAAATAAAGGTGAAATAAAATATAACTAACCAAAAACTGAAGGAAATAGAAAGTCTGAAGGATCAATACACACTGAATGCCACGCTGGGAAAACATTTTTTTTCCTTAGGGCCATGGTGTCTTATTATGAAAATAGAATAAAAACTTCGAAAACAAAACAATCCTTTCTAATATAATGAAAAATTTGTTGTTGACTTCTAGTCATTTAATCCATGTTTTTAGAATTAAATTGTCAATATTAATTGTAACAATAAGAACATCAACAAGTACTATTTCATGAACTAGCTGCAGGTATTTGCCCAGGCTTTGCTGCACGAGGCCCCAGGCTCAAAACCAGTGTGAGTTAAATGCAGCTTACATGGCAGTTAATGTGTTAAAGAAATTAAAGCAGTGATTTAAAATCTTCCATGGAAAAAACACCAAGTGGAGACGATTGTACAGGTATGTTCTATGAAACGTAAGACAGACAAATCATTCCAGTCCTTTACAAACTCTTCTGAAGAATAGAAAGGAGAGAATATTCCCCAGCTCATTCTGTGAGGTTCTTACTACTCGAATAACAAAAATAAACAAGGACAACAGGAGACAGAGAAATTATAATCCCATCTGATTCACGAACATAGATACAAAAATTCTAGGAAAAATGCTAGCAAATGGCACAGTTTTTAAAAAAACTGTAAGCTGCTTGTGTTTACCCTAGGGATGCAAAGATGCAACATCAGAATACCTGTAAACATAATTATGGACGCAGGAGCCTGGCCTGTGGGTTTGCATCCCGACCCTGCCCCTTCATACCTATGAGTCCTCCAGCGTGTTACGTAACCTCTTCTTGCTTCCTGCCCCTCGTCTTCGTCACAGAGTGGTTGTCAGGTTCGAATTCTGTTAAGTGCTTGACATAGTCCTTGGCACACAGTAAGCACAAGTGACTGCTGATACTGCCACCTCAATGAATTACTATTACTGTAGTAACAGATTAAAAGAGAAAGGTCAGCCGGACGTGGTGGTGTATGCTGGTAGTCCCAGCTGTTCAGGAGGCTGAGGCAGGAGGATCGTTTGAGCCCAGGAGTTTGAGGTCTACGGTAATGCCACTGTGCTCTAGCGCAGGCAACAGAGCAGGACTATCTCAAAAAAAAAAAAAAAAAGCCATCATGAAGAAATTTATAAAATTTATGAAAGCAACATAAGCAATAAAGTAATTAGACCTAAATTTAACAAAATATGTGCAGAAAACCTTGACTGAAGAACACTAAATAATAACCTACATAAAAGTAATAAATGAATATGGTTAGAAAGTTGAACGAAAGTCTAAATGAAAAATAAAAGCCTCCTGTTTATGTAAAGGCAATAACATGTATCTCTGAGAAGAATTTTTGTGTAAGTACTAGCATTTTTTGTCTATCTATGGTAAGCAGGCTGCATTCTAGTCCTAGTCCATTATTGATTTTGAGACAGGTCTAAGATTTTGAGTATTATTCAATACTTCTGAGTAATTAGAGCTATTGAGGTGGAAAAAACGGATTTGGGTTGAATTTTGTGTTACGAGATGGGTCTACTTGAAAAGGTAATGCACTGTGATCTAGATAGCATCTTGCAGAATTGAAAACGTATTTGCCCTTTGATCTAGGAATTTATCTTCTAGGTATATACCTTAGAGAAACTCACCCACGTGCACAAGGAGACAGGTATACGGTTGTTCATTGCAGCATGTTTGCGACAGCAGAAAAAAAGGAAAGGCTAAATGCGTGTTAGTAGATACATAAACAAACTGGTTTATATTCACTCGGTGAAATATTCTGGCTGTAAGATTGAAGAAACCTAGAGCTAAGTCTAGCAACATGGATTTTAAAAAAGCAAGTTGCTGAATGGTACATAACTGTGTGGTACAATTTATATAAAGTAAGTCTGTAAACATGCAGCTATGATGCCATTTGTTGTTTGTGGATAGACCCTTGTGTATTAGTACCTAAACATGGGAATAGTAATTGCCTGATTCATGATAGTGGTTACTTTGGATGAAGGAATGTGGAAAATGGAATTGAGGGGGGTGTTCAACTATTGTACTGATGTTTTACTTAAAAAAACACCTAAAATGGAGTAGAGCTGGGTGGTGGTATACTCTTTGTATTTAAAATGTCATAATTTTAAAGGTAAAAGTGTACACTGTCAAGCCTAGTGAGGAACAAGTCATTTGATATATAGCAGGGTTGGCAGACTAATCTGACCACTGCCTGTGTTTGTAAATAAAGTTTTATCGAACACTTCCATGCCCATTTGTTTACATACTGTCTGCTGCGTTTGCTCCCCAGTGGCAAGCTTGCATAGTCGAAACAGAGCCTGTATGTGTAGTCCACAGAGCAGAAAGCATTTACTATCTGGATCTTCACAGGAAAAGTGTTTGAAATCCCTGATAAATAGCAGGGGGATGTTTACTAGTAGCAGTAGAGCAAAGGGTCCCACATTAGAGAAACAAACTAAGGGGCTGTCAGGGAGCCCTAAAATATTTTAGCCAATTGACCATATAATGTAACTTAGAAATTAAAGTAAACATTTTTCCAACCTTCCATTCTGAAAATCAGACGTATTCTTTTTATAAGTAAGTGATACTGTTGAGATTCGGAGAGGACCCTGCACGGGTCATCCACCTTGACTGAGGGTGGCGGTGTGAGATTATTAGGGTTATAGCTTTGGAGGAGTCAAGGCCCCCAGGCATTTCCTTGGTGATCACCACGTGGTGTCAGGAGTCTGGGGTCTCTGGCCAGCCATCCTTTCACAGACCGGTGTGCTCTGACCTGCCTGTGCTGCTCTCTTTGCTGTGTTGGGGTGTGGGCGTCAGCATCGATTCTTTCTTAAGCCCTTGTCTTACGGTGGCTCCTCCTTCCCTGTTGCAGGTCACCAGGGGAGCTTCTGCATGCTGTGTGTCATGCAGAACCACATTGTCCAGGCCTTCGCCAACAGCGGCAACGCTATCAAGCCCGTCTCCTTCATCCGAGACCTGAAAAGTAAGAATCGACCCCTTGAATGCCTGCTAAGTGCTTGCTTGGTAGTAGGTGCTGGCGAGTTGGTGGAAGGGAAAGGAGAGCTGTGAGTGAAGTCCTAGGAATCCTGTGTGCTAAGTGTCTGCATGTGGCGGTGCAGACCAGAGCAATAGTAGTTTGGAGACACGTGGGCTGGCGTCGGTGGGGGAGGCTTTAGTGGGGTGGGTCATGACAGGTAGGTTTTGGCCAGGTGGAGGGCGTTGTCGCGCATTCTGGGCAGGCAGAGAGCTAGGAGGAGGATGGATGAGCAATGTACCAACTCCTTTCTGGACGTTAGCAACAAGTTGTCCTGTGCTGTAAAAGTCTCATTTCCCATTCAGTTGGCAGAAAAGAGAGGTCCATTCTTGGCTTTTGAAACCTGTGTAAATTATAGCACTGTGACATAATTATAATCCATCTGTGTTCTGTATGGGCTCTTGGAGAACTAGTTACTTGGACCTTTTTTATTTTTGGAGACAAGGTCTTGCTCTGTCACCCAGACTAGAGAGCAGTGGTGTCATCACAGCTCACTGCAACCTTAAACTCCTGGGCTCAAATGATGATCCTTCCTCAGACTCGCAGGTAACTGGGACTACAGGCGTGTGCCACTGCGATTGGCTGATTTTTCTATTTTTAGTAGAGACAGGGTCTTGCTCAGGCTGGACTGGAACTCCTGACCTCAAGTGATCCTCCTGTCTCAGCTTCCCTAAGTGCTAGGACTACAGGCATGAGCCACCGCGCCTGGTTATATTTTACATTCTTAAAGGCTTGGTGTTCCTGATGGCATTTGGGCCTTTCTGTGAAGCAGTGAGGGTTCAAGTCTCAGCTCTCACTGAGAAAATAGCGGCTGTGATAAATCACAGCTGGGATACGAGAATTTATGGGGAGCTTTTGTTTTCCTCACTTGCCACTTTGAAAAGGTGCGGGGACTGTCTCGCCCTGCGCCAGCTAGGAATTGACTGGGGGAGGCAGCGGCAGGCTGCTGTAAGAAAAGGCACAAGGTCTTCCCTCCCTTTCTTCCCTCCCTCTTTAGAGATTGCGCGGCATTTCCGCTTTGGGAACCAAGAGGACGCGCACGAGTTTCTGCGGTACACCATCGACGCCATGCAGAAGGCCTGCCTGAACGGCTATGCCAAGTACGTGCCTCGCCTCGGCCACCTTTCCTGCGGGGGTTCCAACATCTTTATGGTGGCAGCGACAGGACATTGTTGTGGAGGCAGCTGGCCCTGCTCCCCTCTGCCCAGCTTCCTCTGGTGAACGCGGCAGATTCTGTGTCTTGGTGTCTGACCTGCAGAAGCCCAGACGGGGTTTCCCTGGCTTCTGGGGAAGGGCTGTCTGCTGGCACGTTCTGGCTCGGGCCTGTCTGGGTGCAGCGGAGTGACAGGAGCTCTGCCTCAGCAGCTCTGTTGAGGGGAAATGCTTTAGCAAATCTCTTTTAGAATGTCAGCTATTGCCGTGGACTTTTCCAGTCTTTTAAACACCACTTCATTATTTTGATACTGAGGATGACGGGGGTAGAAATTATGATGCCTCTATAATATGAGTTAAAAGCATAAAGGAAAATTTGAGGTTAGGAACTTACAATTTTTAAGACTTTACTCTGCCTGGTCCCAATTTCAAATGAAAGCATAGAATGTACGCGTGTGACAGTTGATGCTTTGTGCCACATGGTGTGATGGTTGCCGTCAGGAATTGTTTTTGTGCCATTCCTGGGTTCGTGGGTTCAGACGAAATAAAATGGGAAATGCTCACGATTTCCTGGTTATTGCCTGGGGTTAGAATACTGGAAATACCTTAGACAATGGAGGAAACCTGCCTAGAATGTTCTTTAGAGAAGAAGCTAGTTGAGTTGTAGCAATGAGCGATTGGCATGGGAAAGCAACTGGCTTCAGTAGATGAGATTCTTAGGTAAGTGAGCCTTACAGAATAAAACTTACTTAAGTAACTTGATACACATACAGCTTTTACCGGATTCCTAGAATGCTGCTGCCTCTTCTGAGGGTTTGGTCACCTGTTCTTCCCCTTGTGAAGGGTCCACCTGCCCGTTCGCCTCTGCCCTGAGGGGCTTGAGCCTCCTTTCCTGCCCCCCACTTAACTGAGTAGCTGTTTGCTGAATGCTTCTGCTGCTGGCACTGGGAGTTCAGAGGTTAAAGCCCTGGCCCTTGAGTCTGAGGAGCTGGCGGTGTAACCGGCGAGCACAGGGAAACCCACCAGCGTTGATAGCGCTGTGTGGGAAGCGTCTTGGAGGGGGACTGTGGCAGCCACACCCCAGAGGATCACCTCCCCCAGAGGTGGCTTCCTGGGAGAAGCGGCCCTGAGGCTGAGCGCGGGGGGCTAGGTGAGGAGTGAGGTAGGCGGGAGGGCTGTGGCGTTGCCGGCACCTCCAGGTGGGGTGCAGCGAGTCCACAGAGGGGTTCCCAGCTCTGGGCATGGGGTGCTGCCACCTGGGAACTCCTAGAACAACAACTGACACGTGGGCCCCAGCCCAGGCCAGTGAAGCAGAGTCAGCAGGTGGGAGAAATTCGGGGCGGGGTGCGTGCGTAGGCTTTGGACTTGGCGCTGTGGGGGGAAGAGACAGTGTGTGGCCTGGGCGGCTGGGTAGGCGGTGCTGAGCCAGACGCTGGCACAAGGGTGGGGAAAGGGAGGGAGGCCGAGCGTCAGATGGCCAGGCCTCGCTGGATGCCGGCCCGCGGGAGAGGTGGCCGCTCCCCAAACAGCCGTCCGCAAGAGAGCTTCTGCCGGTCTGTAGTGAAAGGTCACGGGGTGAGAAAAAATAAGACTGTCAGGAGTGGCGAGCCTTTTATAAAGCCAAATGATTCCATTTAGTATGCAGGCGGAAGGACATTTTTGGTTTTTGTTCTGTTCGTGATTTTTGGTATTATTTTGCATCGCGATCAGAGCGTGTTTATAGTATTTCTATTTCATGGAACTTCCCATTGTTTTCTCTGCGGCCTGATATGTAATCAGTGTTGGTGAATGTTCTGAGCACTAGAGATGGTAAATTCTCAGATTATCAGGGTGTGGGTTTTGCTGTGTCTGCGCAGATCTGTCCTGTTGATGTTTTTGTCTCTACCCGTGTGCACGTGCCTCCTTTGTCTGCTCAGTGCTGAGTGATGTGTTGAGCCTGCGGTGACGGGTGTTTCTGTCCCCTTGCACCTTGTGTCGTTTTGCTTTACACAGATGGCTACAGTTGGATGTTTATAACCGCCATGTCTTCATTGAGAATTGTTACTCTTAGCATGACCAAGTGTGTGTCGCATTAATGCCTTTGGCTTGTGTTCTGTGATACTGCGCCCGGCATCGGGACTGCAGCCCTGCCTTGTGAAGGGTCCACCTGCCCCTTCGCCTCTGCCCGTCACTTTGTGAGCGCTTTGTTTCGGGCACTCCTGATGTCTGGTCTTGTTTGTAAGCTGGTTCAACGTCTTGTAACAGGCGAGGCAGAGCCGTGCGTGGAGGCTGAGGCAGGAGGGTCGCTTGAGCCCTGCAGTCGGATGCCGCATTGAGCTGTGATCGCACCACTGCACTCTAGCCTGGGCCACACAGCGAGACTCTGTCTTAAAAAAAACCAACAAAGGCAAATTAAGACCCTTCACGTTTATCGTTAAGACTGCTAAAAAGTTTGCTCCCAGCTGTGTCATATCACTGTGTTTTATGATAATTATATGTAGCGTATTTGCTGTGCTTCTTTATCTGATTTTTTAAATTTTTTTGATGTTTAGGAAGATCTGTATTTCGTTCTGGGGACTATGTTGTCCAGACCTTTGTGAGATGCCCTTGGCCGTGTTTTCTCGACCCTGGTGGTCCGGTCTGTGGGTTTTCAGTGACCTCCTTTCCCATCTCTCCTCCCTCCTCTCTCCCGCTGTTTTAGTTGGCATCGTTCTCTTTCTGTTGGCACGTGCTAGATGACGTCCCTTTCTTGCCCAGTCCCCTGCTTTTGTTTGAGTCTTGGGCTACAGGTAAATCTTCCTGGTGCTTGCCGTCCACCCTCCTGCTGGCACCTCCCGACCCCCCGTGGCTGGGCAAAGCCTGTCCTCTAGAGCAGGAGTCCCCAAACTTTTTGGCACCAGGGACTGGTTTCGTGGAAGATAATTTCTCCATGGATGGGGGTGGGGCAGGGGTGGGGCTGGAGGCGGAGCTCAGGCGGTGATGGTGATGGGGAGTGGCTGTAAATACAGATGAAGCTTCGCTTGCTCGCTTGCCCCTCACCCCCACCACTCACCTGTCGTGCACGGTACCCACTCCCCCCAGGGAGGGATACCAGTCCCTGGCCTGGGAGTTGGGGGATGGGAGTTGGGGAGCACAGCTCTAGAAGATTCCTCTGGGAGGGTGTGTATGTACAGAGTCCCAGCCGGGGGGGGGGTCCGCGGCGTCTCAGCGTGTCTGGTGCTCTTGTGGTCCGTTTGGGCCTTCGTGTTGCCGCCTCCCTCTGCTTTGTGCTTGTTTTCTGGGGAGTGGTTTTCGTCCAGTGCAGTGTTTTGCTGCTGTTCGTTGCCGTTTGCTGGATTTAGACTGCTTTTCGTTGCTGCCGCGGATCTGGCGGTTCTCCAGACCCTTCATCTGAGGGTGCCGCTGTCTCAGCAGAGTGAAGCGACTCTCTTTCAGGGGTGGCTCTTTCTCTGGGGCAGAGGGGTCGGGTGCCTCTCGCAGTTGGGGTTTTTCCAGGACCAAACTGCGTCTCTTGCTCGTCTCCGCCCAGTCTGCTGAGGACGCCCAGCTGCCTTCTCCCTTCTCCCGGACAGCTCGTGCCTTTGCACACTGCCGCCTCAGCCACGTGCTGCGAGTCCCCTGTAGTCGTCCTCTTGGCCACCTCTGCGCCCCTCCTCCTCCCGACTCAGTTGTCCCTACCGCCCTTGTCCCCAAGGCTGGGGTGGGTGTGTCGGGGGAGCTTGCTGGAACCTGATTTTATTTCCCCTCGCGGTGACTTCACGATGGCGCTTCCTCTACTGCAGGCTCTGCCGGGAGTGGCTTCTGGGTGGCTCTGTTTGCTCCGGCTCTCACTGGCGTCGGGACAGCTCAGGGCAGCCTGGATGTCGGCAGCTACCATCACACGCAGCCACCCACGCGTTCCCAGGCTGCTCTGAGATTGCGTTCTTGCTAGTTTTTGGAGTTAAAACATCCCTTTTGAGGAATGGTGGTGATAGTGGATGATGGCAGTTGATTTTTCATCTTCTAACTTTGTAGCATAAAAATTTGGTGGCCCTTTGTTGGTCCTCCAAACATTTTGAGCGCCCACAGTCTGGGAAGCGCTGTGGTCAGCAGTGGCACAGACAGGACGAGAGGCCGTGGGTGTGCGGTCGGCGAGCTCCACAGGGGTGGCGGCGCCATGGCCGTGGGAAGGGCCCTGGGAGCAGCACCACCGAGTACCTGGCTGGGGACGCTGTCCTGGGGGAAGTTGGAGGAAGCAGCCGGGGAGATGGGGCCCAGGAGAGCCTCGGAGGAGGAGGAAGCTTATCTCGGGGTGGGCCACACGGCCTCATTGTGTAGCCGTCTAGTAAAACCACTCCAAAGCCGGCTGGGTTTGTGCCTGGAGGTCTTTGGTGGCTCCGAGCAGAAGACAGTTTCAGAGGAGTGAGTCGGGACCAGATGCAGTGGGTCGCTAGTGAGAATAGGGAGCAGAGACCCGACGTAGCGTATCATTTCCAGACTCTTCCTACCTCATGGCATGAATAGCCACCCAGCGAATACTCAGCGTGGGCGGCACCGAGCACTCAGCAGCTCTGTAGGGCAGGGGGTGTTGGGCACCGAGGCCCAGGGTCACCTGGACCCCAGCTAGTAAACGGTACTGGGGGTTTAAATGCTGGACCGCCTGTCCTGGAGCCCACACCAAGACCCCGTTGTCCTCTGGGGAGAGGTGGAGGCAGGGCTTGTTCTCTCCACCTCTCCTTCTCACCAGGTCAGAGGCTGGTCATGTCAGGGCCAGTCAAGAAGTGGAGGGGGACACGCAGCACCTGGCAGGGTGGGCGGGACAGGCCCCATGGCTCAGGGAGGGGCTTGGGCTCCAGCTCACCCCAGATTTGGGGTGGCACTTTTATTGAGACTGAAAAGAAAAGGTGAGGCTGGGTGAGGGAACAGGTACATTTCCCAGGCCTTTCATTTTCCGTGAAGTGGGTGTGAGTCTGCCAGCTTGGCGGGGACACCTTGTGAAGGTGTGAGGAAGCCGCTGTGGGGGCCTGGGGGTCAGAGCTCCGTGGAGAGACCACCAGACAACGCGGAGCCACTGAGGGTGGAGGATAAGGGAGCCTGGGGACCCGGGGGTCCTGCCGAGCTGGGACAGGCCACCGTGTGGTCTCCTGTGGTTCTCTTGAAGGCTGTTGCCTCCTTTTCAGGTTGGATCGTCAAACACAGGCCACTACCCTGGTCCATCAGATTTTTGGAGGCTATCTCAGATCACGTGGTAAGTGGTGACTTTTTCTCTGTCCCTTCTTACCAGGATTGGGATGTTAACCCAGGAAATCCTAGTCAAGCACAGCCTGGGGCTCTTTCTTAGCTGTGTAGACTTGAGCAGGTCACCAGGGGCTTGAGCCTTGCTTTCCTCTCTGTGAGACCCCTCGCCTGCCGGCCACTTTGCCCAGTTCTAGTAGCCCATGAGTTTGGAGAAAAGCGCTGTGCACGTGGGAAGGGGTGATGGCGTTACTTCTCCTCTCCTCTTCCTCAGTTCCTCCATGCCTCTCTGAGTCCAGCAGCGCGGGGTGGGCCCTGAGGGTGGGAAGGGAAGGCACTGGCACAGATCTTGGGAACTCTGGTGGCAAAGGAGCGTCGTCCAGACACCGGGACTCTCCGGGGGCAGGTGGGATCGTCATCTTTGGCCAAAGCCCAGTTGAGAGTTGGCCTCCCAGGTGTAGGTCTTAGCAGCCGGGGGTGCCCCACTGCTGGGGGCTGCGCCCACCCACTGCCTCCCTTTTGTGTTGCAGTGAAGTGCTCTGTGTGCAAGAGCGTCTCGGACACCTACGACCCCTACTTGGACATCGCGCTGGAGATCCGGGTACAGACCCACTGCTTCCGCCATTCATGTGCACAGTGGGAGAGCGGGGCCGGGGGGTGACACGGGATAGACAGAATGGGAAAGGCACAATATCACAACAGATAGGGGAGAAATACTAGACTCCTGCTGCCTTCCAGAGAGACCATCGCTTTTGCCTAGTTCTCTCCAGCCTTTTTCCTGTTCCCTTGATTTAAAAATTAAAAAAAAGATAAAATTGAGTTTTCTGTCCTAAGGCAACAGTAGGGACAACACTGTCACACTAGGCTTGAGGAAAGTCTGTCACGTGCTGTGGGCGACTGTCGCACAAGTGTGCAGGTTTGGAGCTTGGCGGCTGCGTACCTACATCACCTGGGAGAGCCCTGTGAGGCCAGCGCTGGCGCTCTGGTCCAGCCGGAGTCCGCCGGGGGCTGTCGGCCTTCCCTGGGCCAGTGCAAGCCCCAGAAGTGCCTGACTCGTGGCACACCTCCCGTGGTGGCCTTCCTTATCACTGGAGAAAGGGTCCCGGTCTGGCCCCCTGCTCCTTTGTGGCGGATGTTCCGTATCTCAGAAGGTGGCAGCTAATGGGCGAATTCTGATGCAAGTAAAATTTTGTGATTTGCTGCCTCAGCCTGAAAAAGACCTTAAGTTAGGCATTTCTTGAGTCAGCCTTTTTCTTCTGTTTATCTTACTCCCTGTTTCTGTCCTCCTCAGCAAGCTGCAAACATTGTGCGTGCTCTGGAACTTTTTGTGAAACCAGATGCCCTGAGTGGAGAGAACGCCTACATGTGCGCCAAGTGAGTCCACGTTGCCACAGCAGAGGGTTGAGCCATCCAGAAAGACATAAAATAAGCCACCTCAGCCGGCACTCCTGTGCCTGTCCCCTCAGTGGTGACGGCTGCTCACATTTCCTGAGGAGCCCGTGGGTCAGAAACACAAACCTCTCTATCACACAAATGAAGTGATAGCCATGCTGTTTATAGCTGCCATTTACAGAGTTTTGTCACTGTCCTAAAGATTCTGCAGGTGTTAGCTTGTGAGGTGGGAACTCTTGTTTCCCATTACCCAGGATGGGGAAACTGAGGTACACAGAAGTGCAGCAGCTGGCCAAGGTCACACCAACAAGACGTGGCGGGGCACGGGCTCTCCCAGCTTCTCACTGGGCGGGCCGCTGCAGGGCTGTGCCCAACCACCCGCCGTCCCGCCTCTCGGGACGTTTCCCAGGTGGTACTGCAGTGGTCTCAGACGTTTTTCCATTTCCACAGGGGACTCTCACCTTGTCCTTTCGATGGTTGCACGGTCTTACTGGGTGGGTGTCTCTATAGCTAGGTCATTTCTGAGCTGTAATCACTGCAGAATATTTTCTTAATTCTGCTTGTCGAGTTTCTCGTTTTGTACCCTGTGTTAACCCCCCTTTAGACGCGTTCCCCTTAGCCCTAGACGCTGTGCGTTTCCGCCTCTGTTTCTTCCCCTCTATGCTGTGCTGCCGTCAGTTTCCCACTCGCCTGTTTTATCCATGGGCCACGTCTGCTTTAACTCGCTCTTTCCTGTTATCTCAAAGCATCTTTTCTGCATATTATTTAGTCTTCTGGTTGGTAAAGTACTTTATTTTTGCTTTGTAATCTCCACCTTTTCTCTGGCCTTTGTTTCCCTGCGATAGGTTTCCTTTGCTTACGGCATGTTGATTGTGAGTTTTAGGGGTACAAAGGACACCAATGTCATTTAAGAAGACTCTGCTGTTACAGAGCAGTAGTTGCTGTTACTGACGTAGCATGAAGATAGCATGTAGAGTGCGCTGTCAGAGTATAAACGATACCTTGTCGTTCTCCTTCCTCACAGATGCAAGAAGAAGGTTCCAGCCAGCAAGCGCTTCACCATCCACAGGACATCCAACGTCCTAACCCTCTCCCTCAAGCGCTTCGCCAACTTCAGTGGGGGGAAGATTACCAAGGTGAGTGTTCAGGGCAGTAGCCCAGGCTGCTCCGTGGGCCACGGTTTGTATCAGAATCATGTGGCTTGCTCTTTAAAAATACACACTTCTGGCTCTCCCCCAGAGCCAGTGAATGCAAATCTCTGGAGGACATGGCCCAGGAATCTGCATTTTTTCAGATCCCTGGATGACTGATAGGCATAGTCAGGTTTGAGAACCACCGTCTTGCTGGATTTTCCCCAACGTACCTATACCTGGGGGTCCCGACGTGGAAGGTCAGGGTTTTCCAAGCGGGTGTGGCAAGCCCTGGACCGTGTAGCTCTGTCGGCTTTACGTCCAGAGCAGGCGCAAGTGCGTGCCGTGGCTGTCGTGGACTGTGGAGCAGAAAAGCTACTGTTTGCACGATGGCATTTCAGTAAAGGATGTCTGTTCCATAAAAACTTGGTTCTCTTCTTACAGCCTGCTTATGTGGTTTGGAGCCAGGCACTTGCCTGTGCCTCAGTTTCCTTAGTAGCAGTGGGAGGGGCTTGTTTAGATCAGTGTTTCCCAAATGTGTCTGCAGGGTGTTTACGTTGTATAGTCACGTGTGATTCATGACTGGGATGTATTCTGAGAAGTGTGTCGTTAGGCGATTTTGTGGGGACGTTATGGAGTGCACTTACACAAACCTAGACGGTAGGGCCCATGACACAGGTGGGCTACGTGGTATGGCCTGTCGCTCCCAGGCTGCAAACCTGTACATGTTACTGTCCCAAATACTGTAGGCAGTTGTAACACAGTGTTAAGTATTTGTGCATGTAAACATACCTAAACATAGAAAAAGAACAGTAAAAATGCAGTGTTGGCCGGGTGCAGTGGCTCACGCCTGTAATCCTAGCACTCTGGGAGGCTGAGGCGGGTGGATTGTTTGAGCTCAGGAGTTCGAAACCAGCCTGAGCAAGAGAGAGACCCCGTCTCTGCTAAAAATAGAAAATAAATTAATCAGCCAACTAAGAAAAATATATAGAAAAAATTAGCCGGGCATGGTGGCGCATGCCTGTAGTCCCAGCTACTCGGGAGGCTGAGGCAGGAGGATCACTTGAGCCCAGGAGTGTGAGGTTGCTGTGAGCTAGGCTGACGCCAGGGCACTCACTCTAGCCCAGGCAAGAGTGAGACTCTGTCTCAAAAAAAAAAAAATGCAGTGTTATAATTTTATTGGGCCACTGTTGTTTATACAGCCTGTTGTTGACCGAAACGTCTTCATGTGGTACATGACTGCGTGAAGTTCAAGAACAGGCAAACGTGATCAATGGTGACAGAAACAGCAGTGGACAGCGGCAGTGACTGGGCCACAAGGGAATTTTCTTTAAGTTGACTGGAGAGTGGGTTCCTTCATTGTGCACTTAGCAAAACTCATTGAACTGAGTACCTAAGATCTCTGCATTTCTGCAAATTCTACTTGTTTTTTAAAAACGGATCTATATGTGTAGGCGTAAATGCAAATATGTCTCCTATCATTCAAAGACAACTTTTAAAGATATATTTTCCTACCAAAAATTGTAAGTTTGGGGAATAAATAAATTTTGATATGACCTTGACCATTGTTCTGACTCAGTTCATAAAAACTCAACTTACTGTAGAAATCGACTGTGTTGATTCAGCACCTTTGTGTCCGAAGACCTGAACCCCAGCATTCTCTCCCTGTCCTCCCACCAGCAAGGCTCCCATAGCATAGAGGGAGCAAAAACAAGTGAATTCTTCTCATTTTATGTTGGGAGCCAGTTAGTGGGAGAACTAATGTAGATGTGTGACAGAGACAAGAATGGGTCATAAAGCGTTCGATGGGACAGTACAGTACAGTTTCCCACAGGTCTGTTGGAAAAGACTCACTTCTCAGCATCGTGTTTTGTAATCACTGCCCGGGGTGCTCCCGCCACAGCAGCGCCCCGTGCCCGGTCGCCGCAGATTGTTGAAGTCCAGCTAAACTGGGCATTTTGTGTGGCTGTGGATGGAGGGGGGGTTGACTCTTACTCACAGAGATGAATTTTATTTGCCTTTTCCTTGACTTTTCAAACAGGATGTGGGCTATCCAGAATTCCTGAACATCCGTCCATACATGTCCCAGAATAGTGGTGAGCCTGTCACGTATGGGCTCTACGCCGTCCTGGTCCACTCGGGCTACAGCTGCCACGCCGGGCACTATTACTGCTACGTGAAGGTGAGAGGCTGAGTGTGCGGCGCCCGTGCGAGCCTGCCTCTGCAGAGCGCTTCCTCTGCGGGAAGCGCGATGTTCCGTAGTTGCATCCGGGTTCTGGAATCTGTAGTGTTCTTGGACTCGTCGTGAGACACTGGAGAGTAGCTCCTCTGGGGCCTCCAGAACCCTAAGGACAGCTTGGCGAAAGCTGAGTCTTGGCGGGAGATGCCGCGGTGATGAGACTGCCCTAAATTTCCTTTAAGGACAGTTCACATCTGTTGGGGCATTAGGAGGGAACAGGGGCTCAGAGCACACTTTGGGGTCATGTTCAGAGTTATGCGAGTATTACACATTTTAATAGGAAATCTCTATTGGTTAATTAGCACATGCGCATAGTAGCAACTGACAGCAGATTTTTTATTCCCTTTTTAAAAAGTGAGGATTATGGGATGTCTGTTGATTGTCTCGTTTTTCTGCAACACCCTCTGCTGCTTCAGGCAAGCAACGGACAGTGGTACCAGATGAATGATTCCTTGGTCCATTCCAGCAACGTCAAGGTGGTTCTGAACCAGCAGGCCTATGTGCTGTTCTACCTGCGGTAATGAACTCACGCCCTCCCCAGATCAGCTCGCTCCTTTTCTTGTTCTTTTCTTTCACCAGTGGGCCTCTCTAGCCTTGTTCTGTCTAGAGGTGATTGGGAATGCCACAGCAGGGAAGGCAGTGGGCAGATGCCGCCTCCCTCCCCAGCCATGCACAGTGGAGAGTGTCCTCTGGGAAGGACCCTTTCTAGACCAAATCTACCTGGTTGAGTTGAAGCCACGGCCTCAGGGAAGGGTCAAGACAGGATTCCGTCTGCCCCCACGTTGATGCCACTTTGAATGTAACTGGGAAAGTGTCCCTGAAGTAGCTGTGTCGCCTTTAGATGGCCACCAGCTAGTGCACCCATCCTCTGCAGGGTCCTCTGCGGGGAAGCAGTCCCTGCGGGCAGGGAAGCAAGTTGGTGGTGGGGGGCTGCAGCACAGCACCTTCGGGAGGGGCCTCCCTTCGGGCTGGTTGTCACCAACCTAGAGGTTGGAGGACGTGGCAGACGAGGCATTTTTGCTGTTTCTCACAACTTGGCTGAGTTTGGAGGAAGCGTCTGAAAGGTCTCTCGCTTTCTGGCACGTCGAGAATGTCATGTTGGAAGAACTCGGGCTGTAATTTGCTCTGTGCTGTGCTTGTTTGGAGCAGATACCTGAGGCTCGCTGTAACTGCTCGAAGCGGTGGCAGGACAAGGGGGCATTCCGGGAAGCGGGTTCGGTGGTCCGGTTTCCCTCGGGCCGTTTCTGCCTTCGCCCTGCCTTTTCAAAAAATGTCATTGTAACCTTGGCTTTAACTTACTCTGGTTCTTTCTCCCCTTCCATTTCTGTGATGCCTGTATAGTTTAGTAAGAGGATTTCCCTGACTTGTTTTCTTCCTTTGACAGAATTCCAGGGTCTAAGAAAAGTCCCGAGGGCCCCATCTCCAGAACGGTCCACTCCCTTCCCAGACGCCCCAGCATGGTTCCAGATCACACCAAGAAGAATGTTGGCAACGGGATTGTTTCCTCCCCGCTGACGGGAAAGGTACTTGTTTAAAATGACCAAGGCTGGTGCAGTGGCCTTTGAGCTCCTCTGCAGACCCCTGCATGCTGGGGAGCTTGCCTGCAGTGGGAGAACTTTGCAGGCAGTTTGTGCTATTTTAGTCAATGTTATTTCCTAAATTGGTCATCAGCTGACATTGGGTATAGAGAAAGAGAGGACAGTGATGAGAAAACCTGACCCAGGAAATTAAAATTATAATTGACAGATATGTCCTGCTCCTTGGACCAGCTGCCATTCAGAAGTGCCATGACAGGTTTGCCAAGCAACTCTTAACCCTAAGCATCTGGGAAAAATGTCCTCACATTTTAACACAGAAAACATGAGTAGTTTCTACCAGTGTTAATGTCCTGATTTTGGTACTTAGGCTGTGGTTATGTAAGACAATGTCTTTGTTCTTAGACAGTGCACACAGGCATGTTTAGGGAGGGGAAAAGGACATCATGTCTGCACTTGGATGGTTCAGAAATGTAGTGTGTGGTGGTACGTGCACTCGTGTTCATGCATGCATACACACAGGTATTATACATACCCATCTATGTGGAGAGAAAACAATGAAGCTTTTGTAGGAAAATGTTAACAATTGGGAAATACGCTCAAAGTTATCTTTGTGTGCTAAGACGGCTAAGAACTCAGTTTTATTAGCAGAGTGGTGAGCAGTTTCCTCATTATAACACGATTGATCATTTAAAGCTTGGTGGATCCTCTCGATGACTTTCTGTGCGATCCTCTTCAGACTGAAGAGCTGAACCCCACACAGGCAGTCAGAGCCTCTTACAGTCTGCAGGGGTTTTAGTCATTTACATAAATCTATTTCCCTTCCACCGTCAAAGAAAATAGAAGCTGAAATTAGAAGCACTGAAATCGAAGTAACAATTAAAAAATACATGATCCAATTGCAAAGTTGCTGGTCACTACAGCCCAGACTAGGAAGTTAGGAGGCCTCACTCGCTGCAGGAGCTCTGAGGGGCGGAGCCTCCTGCCCAGGGGTGAAGCTGGGCTCACCAAGAGTGTCCCCCATGTCAGGCACCCCTGCAAGGCTGCCTCCCTGATCATCAGCAGTTTTATTACAAAAACAGTTTTCCACATACAGTGCAACTAGATAAAAGTCATTTTAAGTAATAGTGTACAAGTTCCATTGTATATGTAAATATTCAACAAATGAAGGCGTTTTGCAGCGCAGTAGAAAGATGGATTCTTTTTAGAAAACAATGTTAATAAAGAAGAAACTATTATAAAATATAGGGGGGAAAAAGAGAAAGAACTCACAAGAAAATAGAAGTGAGTTCTCAGTAAACCTATGGAAGAGGGAAGACTTCAT